TATTGCAGCGCAAGATTTTTTTCGAGGACATACGATGCTCAAAGTAAAGAGCAATCATTTTCTTGCTACCTACTATCTTATATATTTCCTTTGCTACATTAAAGTATCTTTTCAATCAGTCTTTTCATCTAGCAGGTCGGAGGCTGGAACATAGCAGTATCTAGAAGAGTTTTAAGGAGTCCTAGAAACAAAGTATGTTTTCGGGCTTGGAAAGGATCCTTGGGCGATTCTGGAATGATGCCGAATTCTAAAGCCTGCCTACCGGCAGACACACTAAAAAGACAAAGGCACTAAAAACAACAGAATCTGAGGCCATTTGAGGGCCAGAAAAACAGTTTATATATTCATATGAGGTAGATCACTCCTCCTAGTCTAAAGGAAAAGTAAATTTTACCGTAAAAGTTGTATACATCCTATTTCGTTTTAGTTGATGAAAAACTGGCACTTGAACATTCCCACAATCATGCGAATAGAACTCACTTTTCCATAGAATTGTACATAGTCTTGCTTCCCAAGAGATTGTCTTACCTCTACAGAAGTCTCATTGACACCAACAGCGGGACTCGAACCCAAGTTGAGGTATGGCAACTTATAGTCTCGACACATTAAGCATTACGCCACGAAGGCTTATGGATCACAGGGCCGATGCTACTTCCGAAGAAGCCTATGCATTTTCCGAATCCCACTTATGTGGTGGTATTTTCGACGAAGAAAAGCTGTATTTGCTATACCAATCGACTACAATAATTATTTCTCGTTTCATATTTGCCGCCATTTGCGTGTAACATTCATTCAAAAGGGCTGAACCACGTCAAGGGATGGCGGATTCGGCCAAATTGTGCTAAGATCAGCTTGTGTCTAAAGAAGAGGCTTTGCTAGCGTTGATGCTTTAGGAGCGAATAATTGTTTGCGAATAACTGCAAATGCTGTCTGTAGGCTAATGTTGCGCAAAACATTCGAGATTATGTTCATTTCTATTTCCTGATTTGCTTCTACCCTCAACCTCTCAGACACATTTAAGACCTCCACTCAACCCTCCCTAATTGGCGTCCTCTCATTCTGGAGTGAAATGTTTAATTGCTTCTTGAATGTGAATTATGCAAACATAAAATGGGTAATTTACTCGATTGCTTCGTCGACAATGCCACGAAAGAAATGTGATACAGAAAAGACCTGGCTTTCTTGTAATTCACTTCTAGCCTGTGACCCAATGGCACTCGTGACAATGTGTGGCGTAGTGACTAACGCTGCACAACTCGGATTCGAGTCCGGCTGAGGCTGGTACCGTTTTGGGCTTGGTCAAAACTGCAGTCGACTACTGCCTGGATGAGAAGACATTTTGGGGAGCAAGGCTATGTGAAAGTGAATGGAAAAGTGTGCCAAAATTCAGCTGCCAGTCCTTTATCACCTTAAGCGAAATGGGGTATATACAGTTAGTATAATAGCTGTTTGTGTGTGTACTGAAACAGCTGTGTAAAAAAGTGTGTTATCGCAGAGGCGAGGATAAAATTGGTAGCTCAGAGTTGTTGATGTCTGTTTGAGCTAGATGACAATTCAAGTCCAATGCTTGATTATGAAAATTATTTTCATTAAACGCCATCTCAAAGGAAACACAAGAACCAAATTATCCTAACTTTGTATATGAAAGTACGGGAATCTTTATTTCACAAGTACAAGTTTGGCTGAATCCACACAGATTTAAATGACATTCTTGAATCATGTAACTCTAAATTTTCATTTTCAGATGAAAGTTGGAAAACGAGCTCCCAGGGGCCTTGTTCCCACCCATCACATCGTTTGAAAGACAAGATTCGGTTGTCAAAGTCAATCGATCAGGCAGAAGATTGAGACCAGCGTCCTCTCGCCCAATGACTTAGCAATTATTCCAGTTAATTGAACCCGAATCTGTATCGCAAGCCTGGTTGAGACCACCTGACTCCCGAGCAAAAGTTGCCATGCTGAGTTGGGATAGTTTTACCTCCTTTCCTCCATAAGAGTGTGCGGTAGAGTGGCTAGTTTTGGAGGAACCTTCTGATGTATCCTCGGTGAGTATTTCACGTGACTCTGAGAGTAACCGATGGATGAGATGCGATTAGACGCAAAGAGAACGCCTTCCTTCTCATGTAAAGTCGAAATAAATGGTCTTTGTGGGAGCCGTATAGACAATACTCACTCGGTCAATGTTAGAGATTGTTGTGAGAGATGATGCAGTTAGCAACAAAATTGTCTTGTATACACGAGAAAGCAATCTCTCCGTTTTCAACGGTTAAACCCACATCCATTTCGAGCTCGAGCAAAGTTCGACCTGCAAAGTTCGGAAGGTAACTCCCATCAGAAGACAACGGTAGATGCTTCTTGTCGTGGAAACTTCCATTTTGCACGAAAGTGGATGACGAAGCAATTCATAGGTCTATCTCATCACAAGACAATGGCTGATTTGCGTTGCTCTGCAGTTCTTTTTATCCAATACGACACTCGGTCCACGAGACGCATCATTCGGTTAGAGTGAAAACGGGCTGGCCATTGTGTTTGTCACATGACGATCGTCAGCAAAGCTGAGACTCATTCTCGCAAAGTCTCAAGTTAACACCATACAAAGAAGACAGATTGGCTCTATCCTAAATGCCATTTATACTCATAACGAATAACAATTCAGGTACAACCGAAGGTAAAACAGTAGGGTTGATTTTCATATACTTGAGTGTGTCTGTCTATGCATGTGTGCATCAACGCCCGTGTGCACAAGCTTGCGCCATCTCACTTATTTTCTGCCTTGTGTCAT